AACCTTCTCGAACGCATACTACCCATACTAGATAGATAGATAGATAGATATTTTATTTGTTTTAAGGAGGTTCCCCATACGAATAGAGCCTAGCTTGGCTATTGTACAATAATATGGTTTTACAAATTTACATACATATAATTTAAATATAGATAAAATTTACAATATTCAACGTTTAGAATGGTTTTCACAAAACATGAATATCAATAAAAATTAAAAACATAAAACGATTACTGCATAATATTGGTTATATGAACCAGTTACTATGATAGAAACAATACAAAATAAAAATATTTATAAATATAAACAAAATATTACTCTTAAGATAAACTAAAAACAAACGCTTGATAGAACATGGCTATGATCAACAATTGTGTGTATGCACTTAGTGTACTCCCATCATATAATAGTAAACTTTATTTAATTTATCTATACAATCAATATTCAGTATGGATTCGACGTTGCGGTTATCAGAAGATTCTGAGATGAAGTTTTGAAGGAATTTTTGTCTATAGTCATTGTATGCAGGGCAGTGAAGGAGAATGTGATGTAGACTATTGTAGCTGGTTTACTTATAGAGCTGGTTTACATCTTGCGAATTATTGTAAATATTGCCACTACAAGCTAAATTTGTTTTGAATAATCTGCTTTGGTTCTCATCCCATTTCACATGTTTTTTGGGCTCCATACCAGTATAATTAGACGTTCGAGGATTTGGTAAGCATACGTGTGGTTTCACGGAAATAGCTCAAGCTAAATGGTCCATAAAATCAGACATGGCTATAACTTCCATATCACTTAAAATATCGAGTGCCATATCGTTGATCCACACTAAATCAATAGTGCTTTTACCAACGTTAGAAATAAATGTAAACTTTCCAGGTCTGTCAGAGAGCGTCCTGCCGTTACATAGTGTGAGACCTAATGATTCCATCGCTTCCACTAATTGTTTTCCTCGTCTGTTAACATGTTTATGACTGTTCGTTCTTGTCGCGTAAAGATTTGAGTTGTACAACATTTCTTCATCCAAGCAATTCAGATCACCTACATGACTGTTAAAGTCACCATTGATAAACAAGCAAGTGTCTGAATAATTGAGTAGTAATTCCGTAATAGTATTACACAGTTCTTCCAGTATTGTATCCATATCATATACAGGGGGCAAGTAAATGTTTCCAATTGTTAATAATTTGTTATTGATTTTAATCTTGACAAAAAGCCAGTATCGCTTGACATATACAATACTTGTTCCTGAAGTAATGGAGCTATGAACCACCGCTGCCATGCCCTGTTGTGTTTGTTTTGACAGCTTTACTGCCAAAAGGTGTATAATCATGCAACCATGGAGGTAAAGAGAAATTATCGTCAATCGCCCAAGTCTCCACGAAACACAATAAGAGATATTGCCTTATAGTATCACATTCTTTCGGTGTAAATTTAAATAGATTTTTTATACCATTTATATTGCAAAACAAAATATGATATCCATGTTGTTGTACATTATTGGGGTAGATGGTTTTACCGGGTCCTTTCAGTGAATCGTGAACAGGTATCAGGCCGAAGGAGATGGGTTCGGTCCGTCAGGACGAATTACCCGTTGCTTAGACTGATGAACTTCGTTGTGGAAATTTAAACTTATCTAGTCTATTTCAGTTTTTCTTTTCATTTTTGTTTGTTCTTCATCAGATGTTTCCAGTGGGCCCGCCTGTGATAACGATATGGGGATATCAGCTTCAGTTTCATTGATTATGTCATCTACTTCTTTCATTTTATAGTATGACCCTCTTATTTTGAAAAAACCTTTCCTATAAGACGCATTGCTATCAATAGTTTTTAATTTGATTAAGCATGCGTGAACTTTTCTCCCTTCTTCTCTTTCTTCGGGCGTCTTATCATGGCTTAAAAATACGTTTTTATATTTTAAAATATCCCTACACTTAAAAACCTTTTGTTTCACAATATTATTGTTAAGTGACACCAATATTGGGCCTTTCCGAAGTCTATAACAGGTGTTAACTGCATAATCTGGGATCGTTATATTAGACTCCGTGAAGCTGTCTATAACTTTATCGAGTGTATTTTCATTTCCACTGAAAAGGGATGTTATGGATCAAAAAATTGTTCTTTTTTATCTGCCGCTTTAAAAAATTAATTTATTTTTCGAGTTTAGAATTCTTTAACTCTAGATCTTGGCAGGTATTCTTTAACCGATCACATTCTTTTAATACAACACCTATGAGAGAATTATTAGTTTCGAGGGATATTTTCATTTCATTAATAGCTCTCATTATATCGTCGTTGGAACACATTATTATGAAAAATATACATAAGTGCTCGGCAGTGATTTGATAAGATACGGTGACACAGACCTTCTACAGCTGGAGCGTGTGTAGTGGGGGTTTGCAGGTTCAGTTTAGTCCACTGATAAGCAGCCCATTAGTCCTCACAGCAGGCTAATTTCTTTACAATTTTCTCCTATCGAAAATTCTTGGTGAATTTCAACGATATTTGAGAAATGTGTTGCTGACAGACAGAACTACAACCGTGTAAATTTTGAACTAAATTAGACGGAAAAGAACTAATGAAAAATGAGAACAACTAAGACCCGATGTATACTCGTTGCCGGCCGTGGATAGACTTCATACTACCCATACTAAAAACCCTTATAAATATCCCATCCCATCAGTTTGGATTCCACTCAAGACATTCCACTGTTCATCAAGGCCTTCGCGTTGTTGACCATATATCCTCTGCGCTTTAAAACAAGCAATATTGCACCGGTGCCTTTCTGGACGAAGCGTAAGCCACGATGGCTTGCTTTTCAAGCCCAAAACCCACTTACCGCAATCCTTGTACCTAGTCCTCAAATCCTACCTCTCAAATCGTTACTTTCGAGTCCGCTTAACTGAATTCTCCAATTATTATGCAGTTGAGGCTAGTGTTCCACAAAGCAGTGTCTTGGGCCCAGTTCTCTTCACCGCTGACATTCTAATCAACCCCGATACCCTTCTAGCAACATTCGCTGACGATACCGCCATACTGTCATTCCACTCAGATCATAAAACAGCATTTTTAAACCTACAAAGATACATCTCCCTAATTGAGCAGTGGTGCAGTAACTGGCGCATCAACATCAACGAATCCAAATGCAAGCATGTCACCTTTACCCTTCGACGGAGATCCTGTCCACCTATCCTTTTCAACTCTGTACCTCTCCGCGTTTCAGACAGTTCGGTATCTTGGATTCCTTCTAGACAAAAGACTAACTTGGAGCCAACATACCATACTTAAAAGATAAGAACTTAACCGATGATTTGGCCAGCTATACAGACTACTTACCAGAAAATCTAATCTCTCAATAGAAAACAAACTATTAATATTCAAGACCATACTCAAACCTATCTGGACCTACGGACTTGAACTGTAGGGGTCAACTAAATTTTCAACATCAAACGCATCCAATCCTTTCAGTCTAAAGTCCTCCGTATAATAGTCAATGCTCCTTATTATGTTACAAATAAAACTTTACATGATGACCTTTACATCTGTTATGTCCATGACGTTATTCCATCCCGATTCTCAAATTTTAAACTGAACCTAATCCACCATCCTAACTCCTTAGCACAATCCTTATCTAGCTCCAGTCATCCCTACAACCCTCCTCGAAGGTTGAAACGGCAGTGGCCTCGAGATCTCTTGTAAAGACGTCACTGGAGTTCTGGCCAGCTTCTCCACTAAAGTCATGAGTGTCTGTGGCTTTAGTGCTCTCTCTCAGTCTCCACCGGACTGGTAATGCCGGCGTCGCGACTGAGAAAGAAGCGTTGGGATCACTTAGAATCTCGCTGTGTCCTTCACACGTGGAGGAAAGGGCTGGACTTGGAGATTTGTTGCCTGATTGTAAATATTGTAATTAAGTATGAATATTTTTCTTGTTAATCTTTTTTTTTTATCTATTTATTTTTTTACTTTTAATTTATTTAATTTTGCTACGAATTTCTGTACTTTATTTAATTTTAACTCAAAGTTACATTTCCTTGGATTATTATAGTTTTTGCCTTTGTTATATAGATGTATATTTTTTTTTATTATTTTTTTTTATTGTGTTGTATATAAGTTTGAATGTCCCCCACTGAGCTTTAGTACTCAGTGCCCTTAAGAGTGGCAAAATGTATTATTTCTCAATAAAAAGATATATAAAAAAACAATGTCTTTATTGTTTTTTCAAATTAATTATAGATATATATATATATATATATATATATATATATATATATATATATATATATATATATATATATATATATATATATATATATATATATACAGGGTGCTGCAGGGTTAACTGGCCAAACTGAAAATATAAATTAAGAACCTCAAAAAAAAAAAAAAAATCCTATGAAAATATGTTTACCAACGCTTTGTTTAGGAGATATTCACACCTATATTAGGAGATATTTTCATTGTTATGAATTATTTACGTTATATTTAATAAATAAAACTTATTTATTTGTTCCAACTACTTTATTAATTAAACGTAAACATTAAATTCATATTAAATGTTGTTCAAAGTTATTTCCTTGCAGGCTCGGCACCTTTCTTTAACAGAAGCAATGGCAGAACGGCACTGGATATGTGTTATTGTTTCACAAGAGTAAATTGTCCTTCTTCGTAAGGAATTAAGGTCATTGACCGGACTTGCATAGACTTTTTGTTTCTTGTCAGCCCAAACAAAAAAATCCATTGGTGTCAAGTCTGGAGAGCGTGTAGACCAAGCCACTGGTCCTCCACGGCTAATCCATTGATTTTAATAATTAACATTTAGCCATTGTCGTGGACCTCTTCCATAACGTGCAGGACAACCATCTAATTGAAGCCACATGTCCCTTCTCAGTTGTAATGGAATATGTTCAACTCATGTTAATCATCATTAAGACATTACAGAGATGTGCCCGCATTGAGTCGAGACGGCAAGAGATGCGGACCTATTTAAATATTGTCTATTATCCCCAACCATACATTGTAGTGAAACTAGTGATGAAAATGATGCCCACGAATTGCATGGGAATTTTCCTGCGACCAGGGCTGATTATTTTTCTGATTGAAGATACCTCTTCTTGTAAAGGTAACTTCATCTGTCCAGAGAATGTTTCCTGAAAATTCTGGATTATGTTCGACTTGATTTAAGTACCCATCTGAAAAAATTCTTCTTTGCTGAAAATCTTGCGGTAGTAAATTTTGTACCCGTTGATGGGTGTAGTCCATCTGCAATGAGAGTTCTCCATACTGCAGTTGGCGTAATATTTAATTCTGCTCCAGCTCTTTATAGACTGCCAGATGGATTATTATCAAAATATTGTAATATGGTCGCACTCCTTTCATCATTTCGTAAAGGGACAAAAATACCATCAGCACGTGGTATTAGAGAAAATGTATCATTTTCTCTTAAACGTAGAAATGTGGAGCTAAAGATAGACTAGTTTGGTAATCTTCTATTCGGAAATCGCCTGCCATATTCACGATGGGCAGTATTAGCATTACCATTGCAAAAACCCATATAAAAACACCATATCGCCATATACACCACTAGTATAAATGGAAGGCATAATGATGAGAATTCTGCGAAAGCTTCTAACAAACTGATAAATGTTATTGAGAATTCCCGATGCTAATTCAAAACAGTATTAATCCTTATGTTGCCAATAGTTTTTAGGGCAGTTAGGGATAAAAGTTCGTATTAGTATTCTATCTAATCCATCTGCTAAACAAAGCGTTTGTGGACGTACCTTCACTTTGAACAACAATTAATATGAATATTAATGTTTACATTTAATTAATAAAGTATTTAAAATAAATAAATAGGTTTTGTTTATTTCATATAACGTAAATAATTCAGAACAACAAAAATCTTTAGATGTGAATATCTCCTAAAAAAAGTGTTTGCGGACTTACCTTAAGAAGATATTTTTTTCATGTTCCGAGGTCCTTAATTCAGTTTTGCAGTTTGGCCACTTAACCCTGAAACGCCATGTATATGAAATAAATGCTTTCGTTCTGGTGCCCTCCCAAAATTAAATCCTGGAACTGCTAGTGCTTGAAAATACTATTAAAGAAAAGTAAATGATATCGATTATCTTACTTAAAGTCCACCATTAATCGATTATTTAACAAAATATAATTGACCGATTCATATTATAAGACCCTGGAGGCCTGTATAATGTTTTTAAGACTCATTAATTTTATGGAATTAACTTTTATTTGTTTTGGAATTATTATTGTTATAATTTCGGATTAACAATAAATTTTGTTAAAGTAAGAATATATATATATATATATATATATATATATATATTTAATGATAATTTAGAAATATAAGAATTCAAAACAAAAGAAATAAAATTGCAACGCATGCAAAAGATTATAAATTTTATAACAATAGCATGACATATATAAATATATAACAAATAATAATAATACAGTTGAAAAGAAGTTAGTTTAAAAAAATCAATTAAATTAAGCCTGTAGACAATTACTATAACAATACATAATCACATGCGAGTCCAAATACTGAACACTATGTAAAAACAAATCTCTGATATATATACATATATAAATACTAGGTATAATAAGTCCTGCAAATGAATTGTCTAAATATGTGACAATTACCTGTATCAGGGGTAAATCAGAAAGTATATCCGCAACAGTCGGAGCTATGATTTCGTTGTTGTTTTTACTAGAAATTTCAACAGCCTTCACATTAATAGTAAGTTCGTTTTCTAAAATAATCTGCATAAATATCCTTAAGGTCTGCTCCATATTATATTCCTTAAAAATATAAATAAATAATTAATTGATGTGAAAATTTAATAACCTTACTTTAATACGAGCGGTTTCTATTCGTCTGTCCATTCAGTTTCCCTTAAATAATGTAAAAGTCGAAACTATTAACTAGCACTATCTTTAGTTTTTTCTCACTTTGCATTACCTTCTACTTCCTTTTATATTATATATTTATTTTTCTAAAATATATTGCTTTCCAACGGCATATTCTACGTTCATAATACTGCTCCTATTTCTGGAAATTTGTCTGCTACATGATAGTATTTCGTCTTTTTTCTCATTTAGTTAATTATAAAACTCATTCATAGTTCATCCTTATCCACTTTGCATCAGGATTAACAATGAAAGACATTAATTGTTTTTAATAATAAAACATTTTTTTTCCATTTTTATTGAGAAAATTACAATTGTCTCAGTTAAGGAGATTTATAATAGAGTTCAGAGAACACATTCGCGCTATAATAATAAAAATTAGAGGAACTTCGCAGAAAGCTATTTTGATGATTCGTCATCAAAGAACTGTAAAACTATTATTATATATTATAATAAGGATAAATCCTAGATGATATTCAATACAATTTACATATAATCTGTTAAAGCAAAATCGTTAGAACTGTTTTCGAAAAAATTGCAAAATCGGCAATCCAAAAGTGGTAGTTCTCTTTTACCTAATCACACCCTCCTCCGTCATGACCGGGTAAGCCGGACTGGCGTAGGAGTAGCCATGTTTGTCTATAATAGCCTCAAGACCGGAATCCTCGATTTCTCACCACCCTGCGAGTATCCACAAGTTGAATACCTTCTAGTAGAAATCCATTGTGAGGATCTTCCTCTCCTATACGTTGAGGTATATCGTCCTCTCCATGTTCCATTTAATCAGTCTTTTGAATCAACCATATTCAATTTTATTTCCCTATATCCCATAATAATCATCTTCGGAGACCTTAATACCAATTTCCTCTCTAACGACAAATCTTATCTACAAAACCTCATTTTCTCGCTGCACCTTTTCACCGTCCATTTCCCCTCACCCACCATGCCAACAGTCCGACACTTGGCTAAACTTCTACATTGTAGACTCTGCACAAAACCTCCTCTCCACTTCTCAACTGCCAATATCCTTTCTATCATCTCACGATCTGATACAAATAACATATAATATCCGAACTCCTTCACTCCAGCCTCGAACTATCACCTTCCGCCACCTAGATACCCTTACTCAAGAAAAAATATTAACTGACCTAGAAACCCTAGATTGGAATGGAATATATTCTTGCTCTTCTATCGACTCTATAGTTGACATTCTTAGCACCAATCTTCTCAGCATCGTTGATATCCATGCCCCCCTTAAAACCACTACACTTCGCCGCCAGTGGCCATGCCACACAGCTTGCTGGATGTGTCAGGAATTAAAGACCTGCAGATATTTTAGACGTACTAGGCTTGCAGATGACTATCAAGCGTTCAGGATGCTTCGCAACTTGGCACAGACAAGGATCTGGCGTGCGAAAGCTACCTACTTCCATGAAAACCTTTTCTCAGCACCTGATATCAAATCGAAATCGCTACTGCTTCGTAAACTTTCCATTTGTAATCTTTCCTGATCCCCTACCTCAGCCTTTAATGTATCCTCCGATGATTTAAACTCGCATTTTATATCTGTCGCTAATACCTCTTCTCTATCTTCCTCTTCCGGTTTTTCTCCAGAGATATACTTTAATGACAATAACTTTTATTTTTCCGACAGCTCCACCACAGATTTTTTAACCCCTATTATAGAATCCCACTCCAATTCCATAGGACCAGATGGCATCCCTGTCAAATTAATAAAAGTATGTCTCCCTGTTATCCTCTCAGTTCTCCTTTTAATCTACAATTTCTTCTTTCAGAATTCAGTATTTCCTACCTCTTGGAAAAAAAAGCCATTGTTCTTCATTTAAATAAAAAGCCAAATCCACCCTCTCCTGAAGATTTCCGCCGAATCTCAATTCTTTCTAACCTGTCAAAGCCCTTTGAAAGATTGGTGCAATCCCAAGTCTCCAAGTTCCTTTAAAAGTCCAACAAATTTGATCCTCTGCAATCTGGTTTCCGTGGGGGCTATTCCACACAATCCGCCTCAATCAAAATTACCAGCGACATTCAAATTGCAATAGATGAGAGAAAATTAACTGTCCTTAAACTTCCAAAGCCTTTGGTACCATTAACCATTCCATCCTGTTCAACAAACTAAAATCATTATCTTTTTCCAATGGTTCTATCTCTTGGTTCTAACCCACCCCTCCCCACCCCCAACGCACCCAATCAGTTGGGGTACCCAATCAACCACTTCTCTCCCCCTGCGTTATAGGTAGCATTTGCCAAGATTCAAGAAGACCTTGATCGAATCAGTGCCTGGGCAAATGTAAATGGATTAAGGTTAAATACTTCCAAAACTGAGGCCATTGTCATTGTTTTCAAGCCTTTTATTAGATCTCATGCCGACTTTCCCATATTACATTTTGAAGACCAGCCAGTCTTTTTCTATTCCTCTGTTAAAAATTAAGGATTTTACATTTATCAAACCCTCTCATGGAACCGTCATATTTCTCACATTTCCCGACGAACAATTTCTACCCTTAAATTATTCCATCGATTCCGCCATCTCAACATAAGAGTAGACTTCTAGGCTTCTCTCTCATCATATCCCACTTTCACTACAGCTGTGTGGTGTATGATGATCTCTCAGTGGAGCTCCATGATAGATTGAAAAGACTTATGTATAGCTGCGTAAGATTTGTAATTGGTGCCCCAAGATACTCCCATGTCTCTCACTACTACACTGAGTTAAAGTGAGTCTTTCCCTCCTTTCGAAAACAATATTTCTAAGGTACTTCCCTTTATGAAATCATCAATAATCATCGTACTTCTTACTCCTACAACCTTCTCCAATTCAAATCCTCAGCCCATTCCCTTTCTACAAGATCTCGACCTTCCGACCTTTACATCCCTTCTCACAGATCTGCCAATTTCAAAACTCCTTTATTGCTCGTGCAATAACATTGTTTATTTAGAGAATTTATGGAATTCCCTGTCTATCAAAATTCGGCATTTCCCCTCCTTATCCAAATTCAAAACCCTCCTATTCCTATTCCTATGCCAAAAACAGTCAGATACTTGCTAACCTTTTGATATTATACATTTCTATATTATGCCATTTATCATCAAATGATAGTCCTACTTCATACTGTAAACTTCACTAGGGATATTGCAATATATTCCTACTCTTAATGCCAACGCCTATTTTTTATTTTTACTGTTATTTTTTATTCTTATACAACTAAAGCTGTACCTATAGTTACAATAAGATAATCATTTGTATACATTATTTAATTACTCTGACATTTTATATTCTAAGAATCGGTTTTCCTTTGTTAGCAGAAATACAAGGCTTATTTTAAAGAAGAACTCAATATATTTTTTTTCTTAAATGTGTTTAATTATAATTTTTCCTCCTGTACATCGTTTTAAGTGTCCTGTCATAGTTTTAAGTGTTTTTTATATAGTCTTATTTTTTTTTTTTGTATATAGCTTGTTTAACTAATATTTTCTTTACTTTATTTTTTTTTGTTATTGTTTTATTTATACCAGATGTAGTCTTTTAATTCTATAATATTTTAATATTCTAAAGAAACTTTGTCCCAGAATAAAGTTATTTTCTATTTCCATTTATATTTATATTTCAGGTAGGTCGATTTCAGAAACAAATTGTAACATATCAGGTATTTACATACATGAAATTAATAATGTGAGTTTCATACTACTTTTCGTTCTTAAGCGGTACACACATACACCTACACAGATGTCATTGGTGGTAAGGAATAAAAAAATTATATTGCTAATATGAAATTAAGTTTAATTGCAGCTTAACTTTCTGTTAGTTCTGTTTGAAAGAGAGGTTAAGGTGTAATCTCAATTATGATCTGAAAGACTTCATATTAAAGTTTTATTGAATTGGTATTGTCGTTCATTAAATGAATTAGTACAAGAAAGATATTTTCAAGAAAGTTCTTTTGGCAATGCAAAATATAAGTAAACGATAATATTGTACGTCAATGTATTATTACCTCAATGTCTGTTACATTAGGAACGAATTCATATTTTTCCAAGACAGCTTCAGCTAAATTTTTTCTCCTTGGAATAGCATCAGCTCTCAGACCCATTATTTCAATTCCACCGCATTTTATCAATTCCGCTTCTTGGAAGTAGTAGACAGCGAGATCTGGGAATTGTACAACAGGGCATAAATTAAATATCTAAATTTACAGAGGTTATCTAGTAAAATCAAAAATTTTTAGAGAAATAAATCGATTGGGATGATACTGTCAAAGTGAAACCCCTAACCCTTCATTTTCATGGTTCATATTTCTCGAGGCAACATCTATTCTTGTTTAGAAAATAAGCACATTTTTTAAATAATAAAATTGAGTTTATTTTATAAAAAATAATATATATACTTTTTATATAAAAAATAAAAGAATAGAATAGAAAATTGAGCTTGGGACTTAAGTCCCCTTAGAATAACAATGATGATTTAATACAAACGAAAATGCAAATCTGGCCAGAAACTAACTAATAAAAATTCTAACATTATATACATTATTTAAAATGTAGTATGTAACCACTAAAAAATAAAGAAAAAAAAAACAAAAAAATAAATGAACATAAAATCTTGTCAAAATTACTTATTATTGTGATGAAAAAAAAAAAAAAAGGAAATTACATAGTTATACATACATAACTACACAATTTATAAACAATAGGCTAACTAATAAAAAATTAACTTAATACAAAATTTATTAATATTTACAGTGATTTATATAATAATATGCAAACACTAAAAGAAATTAAAATAAAATCTCAGGAACACTTGTAGTTTAATGGAAAAAAAGAAATATATATGTATCTACATACACATATTGGTACCCAGAGAGACAAAAAGTATGACCAGGATAAATAAAAATAAAGAAATAAAACAATAAGATAAGAAAATAACAAAAGTAATATCAGAAAATCATTGATTTAGGTGTTAAAATATAAAAAATAGACTAAATTAAGAAACTAGCACTATAAAATAATATGTTAACAGTTAAACAAAAATCTTCTCAAGCGTGATTATAGTTGAAATGGAAAAATAGAGAAAAATAAAATAAAAATACATAAAAAATATAATAACATATATACCCAGAAAGAAAACCAAGACCTAAAGCAAAGAGAAAAACTAATAAATAGAAAAAATAATAGTCAAACTAGGTGACAAATATCATTGATATTTTATGCTATAACTTAAACAGTAGTCACCACAATTTACTTCTCACAAATTCAATTCATAAAATTAAATTTATGGTTGCGAATCGTCTGTTTGGGATGTGCAGAGATATTGGAAAAGGAGGTATTTGAAAGATGACAGGGAAGAGGCATGACGGATGTTATGTGGCAAGAAATTCAGAAAGTAACGGAGCGAGCTAAGAAGGAATGTTCATAGGGTTTTGTCCTATGGGCAGGGATAGATGTCAGAAACACGAGATCTCGTTTTTATTAAGTGGACTGAAGGCTTAGGCTGAAGGAGACAGTAGATATAGGAAGGGTGCTGGGAGTTGATCGTTTTGTATAAGAAATTTCGAAGGAATTATTGGCGGTGGGAAGAGGGGAAGAGCCACTTTGACTCGGCATATGAAGTGAATATATATAAGAATAAAATTTTCGTATTTAACAGCTGTCACCTTCATTTGATTGTTACTTACTTGTTACTATCAATATTGTTAATCAGTAGAAATATGAGAACACACTCATATATATTTATGTACAGTAAGATGGGTGCCAGAAAAATAATGAATAATTACTGAGCTTTTACGAGTATATTATGTTCAAAAATATACGTATTATGTTCAACATGCATGGAACTATTTAAGCTAAATTACTAACTACACTAATATAATAACATTGCATTACAATAATAATAATAGAACTCACTAATAAAACAATCTAACAAAATAATGTGCATATAAATAATTAAAATAACAATAATAAGATGCGCATGCTAGCTAGATAAATTTCTATATAATGCTACTTAATAGTTAGCTCGAGAAATAAATATGATAAACATTAACACAAGCAATACATAGTTTAACTCCCAATCAGACGTCAGCCTCCAGAAGGTATCCTATTGTTTGGCGTCCTAGCAAGATATCAGCACTGCTCGTGAGGATTTATCCTAACAAAGGTGTATTTTTCTATAGGCTTCTTTATCACAGAATGCAGTGCTAACATGGGAGACATTCACTCGTGCTAACCCTCACTATTTTCCGAACCTGCCTACGGTTTTCTCAACTCAGTGTTGCCACCGGTCATAGTTCGCAGGTCCAATCCTCCAATATAGGCCCCCCCTCACATCACTTTCCCCTTTGAAAGAGGAAGTTCCATCCCTCGTCCGTTGATGATGGAGAAAACCTCTTCGGTGCTTTGCGCACACGTTTAGATCTCCACAGGAGGGGCGTTTCAACGGCAGTGACCTGAAGATCCGGATCCCCAGGGGTTAAAATTCGTGGTGGCACATAAGCATCCTCAGCTGGTCCAGGTTGAGCAGCTTCACCAGATGAGGTTAAGCCGACTGCTTCTTCTGTTTCGCCGCAATCATTGCCGTCTCCCCCACCTTCCTTAAATATCTCGAATTCTTCCGCAGGTTCCTCATATTCTTCACTATCCTCTTCTTGGTCCGGAACATCGTCTGAGTTAATTGGCCACGAAGGTCGAGGTGTAAATCGATCTGGTGGCGAAAGGTCAGGTGTAAATCTCTTAGGTGGTCCTCTCCTTCTGACCGATCTCCTGGGAAGACTCAGAGTTGGAGAATAGTGACGTGGAGTAACAGCTCTGGAGCCAACTCTCTGTTCTGAAGGCCGATAAAAATATTCATTCTCCGAGTCATCTGAGTCCGAGCTAGATACTACACCTTTTGCTTCTTTATCCAACTCCTTTTCCAGACACGGAGTATCCTCCGACGAAGAGGAGAGGTAATAATGTTTAAGGCAATCGATATGCATCACTTCTGTTTTCTCTCCAGACTATTCGATGATGTCATTCACCGGGCTAGTTTTCTGTATGACTTTATAGGGTCCTTCCAAGGGGAAGAAAAACTTTCGACATTCGCCCATCAATGGCCCTGGTTTTTTAATGTAAACGAGATCTCCCAACTTGAGGATGATGCCCCCGGTTAAGTCTTTTTCAATTCTTCTGCTACTGTTGCTGGCTATATGGTAGGCCTCTTGCAAGCCGTTAAGAATCTCTGCAGGGTAGTCATCTTGGGTGATCGCAAGGTCAAACGAAGGCTGAATGTTACAAGTGAAGGGTATAGCAACGTAAGAAAGTTTGGGGAGTAACCCGTTGAGCGATGATTTGAGCTTCTATAACTCGCGAGGGCATAGTCAACATATTGGTCCCAATTAGGATTTCTCAACTCAGTGTTGCCACCGGTCATAGTTCGCAGGTCCAATTCTCCAATATAGATCCCCCCTCACATGTACAAATTAATATGTTTACTTGTGCTTTGTTTATTTTAATTTTAAGGTTAGATTATTATGTTAGCTAATTAATTTTTTATTTTCTTATAATGCCAGACAAATGCCACATTTTTTGTTCATTATAATTACTCTTAGGGGATTAAATGTCCCAGAATAAAATTTAATTTTCTTTTTCATCTTTAATTTTCAAAAACTAAATTAATGACATTGATTTAGAACACCAGGAAGTACGAAAACAAAATAGAATAAGGCCTAAAAATAGTAATTTAAGGTAGGACTTGGTTTTATAGCGAATACTTATATTTAATCAAGTTAAAAACAAGCGAGACCTCGTTAAAAATACATTTCTATTGTTTGTTCTGTAATTAAGTATTTTTTATATATATATATTTATTTGTTTTACTTATGACTTTTTTTTTTTTTTTTAATTTGACTTCAAGTTACATTTCTTTGGTGTTATAGTTTTTACCTTTGCTATATAGATATATACTTTTATTTATTTATTTTTATTTTATATTATTTATTTTTATTTTATTGTATATATAGTATGAATGGGCCTCACTCAGCTTTAGTACTTAGTGCCCTTAAATGTGACAAAATGTATTATTTCTCAATAAAAAGATTTTTTTTTTAAAATTGTTTGTTCAATTATGAGTTTACAAACAGTTACATATATATATATATATATATATATATATATATATATATATATATATTATTATTATTATTATTTATTTCGCTTTCTCAGATACCTGGAATATCTGTATATATTGTTATTATTATTATTAATGCGTTATTTAATATATATAATACAAAACTTAGTGTTATTTATTTATCGCGATATAGGCCAGCTAAGGACCACAGATATTTCTTTCTTTGCTCCTCTGCCCAACTTCATCCTTTCTTCCTCCACCACAAGAACCTTTTTTCTGTCTACTATCTTTCGAAACTTCTGTTTTTCTTAATAATCCTCTTCTCTGATTTCTAATTTCTTTATATTTTCTTAAATCGAGCCAAAGTATCCTTCAATGTTCTTACGTTTGATCCCTTTGCCTAAGACCCGCTCGTTCAGTCGATCCTTTCCCATCCTCTTAATATATTTAATAATATTAAGGGAATTTCGAAATCTATCATTCGGCGATTCTATCATCACCTTCACTCTCCGACGCAGTTCCTGTCCACCAGTAAACTTTAATTCCATCCAGCTTCCTTCCTCAGACACAGTCTGGTATCTTGGCTTTCTCTTAGACAGACGACTAACGTGGAACCCTCATACTAGACTTAAAAGACAGGAACTTAACCGACAATACGGCCAACTATACATACTACTAAATAGAAAATCTAAACTCTCTATTGAAAATAAAATACTTATCTACAAGACAATACTGAAACCTACTTGGACTTACGGACTTGAACTGTGGGGAACAGCAAAATTTTCTAACATCAAACGCATCCAATCCTTCCAATCCAAAGTCCTACGAACAATATTCGATGCTCCTTTCTATGTAACCAACAAAACCCTACATCATGACCTTAATATCCCATTTGTCCTAGACCTTATCCCAGAAAAATTCTCCAAATTTCACCAGAATCTTACCCGTCATCCAAATCCCTTTGCACAATAACTATCCAGCAAAACCCATCCCTTTCATCCTCCAAGAAGGTTAAAACAGCATTGGCCTCGCTACCTTTTATAGTTTGTAAATATTGGAGTCCTGGATATGGCTAGATTCTCCACTCACGACATGAGTGTATGCGGCTAAAGCACTCTCGCCCAATCTCCAATGGATTTAGCCCCAGTGAAGCGGTTGAGATAGAAGTGTAGGGATTTTCTGGATTCATTCTTTTCCACAGTTGGAGGGACAAGTCTGGCTAAGAGTTCTCTCTCCTGATTGTAAATAGTGTACATAGGTATGTATGTGTTCTTTTTTATTTATTTATCTTTAGATTATTTTATTCCTATTTATTGTATATATATTATTATTTTGTATAATTTATTTTTGTTCATTGTAAATAGAGTGTGAATGTGATCTCTGAACACTATTATAAATGTCCTTTGAGACAGATTGTAATATTTTCAATAAACAAGTTTAAAAAAAATAACAATTAATAATATGCTATGCTGAAAATAAACTTTTAATTTTAATGCTTATTAAAATTTATTTAAGAGTTTTTAGTTAATCCTGTATACATATGAAGCCACATGGCTGTCCCTATCATTATTTTTGCATTTATATCATTTGTTCACTTTAAATAGTAAAGTTGTGGATTGGTGGCCGCAGATAATGAGTAGTTTATATATGCAGAAGAAAAAATTTCTTTTTAATTCTCAAATCAAATTGTTTATCTTCTAATCTAATCCTTACCTTGGTCCCCATCTTCTGGAAGAGAGAATGTTGACTGAACATGTTTCTTTCCATCTAAAACGACTCGTTCAATGGAAGTCGGAACAAAGAGACCACGAGTATCGTTAAACATTATTTGTATTTGAAGCATGTTGTCCATAAAAGCCACCCAATTTTTGTGCCATCTCACTTTCGCAATTTTATCTGAAAGAATTAATTTTATTTTTCATTATTTTTCTTTCTGATTAAACAGTTATAAGTTATTACTTATTATGGAACAGTAGATTGATATTATCATTCAGACAACTTATTCATAATCTTGTTCTTCGTTATAAGCTAATCGTGTTTCCTAATATATTATATCAAATTAATGAGGATATAATGAATATGAGTGGAAGATAGCGGTTAGTTTTAGCTAAATATAATAATAATAATAATACTTTATTTATTCTGGGACGAGTCCCTTTAGAATAATATAGAAAGACATAATTATGGGCTAAGGAGCCTTAGAGATACATAAATAAAAATACAGACTAATCAAACATTCATAGTAAAAAAATGAAAAAATATAAGTTACTTTCTAATTTTAATCAGTTAATAATAAAAAATAAAAAATTGAAGAAAAAAAAAGTATGAAATAAAAATAATGAAGAACGAACTAATAATTTATATACATATTTACATTAGTATCTATTTACAATTTCATGAGGACTGGGTGGATAAGCAATTATTGAACAGGCGGGATTTAAAGCTAGGAAGAGTATTGGATTGATGAATGTGAGAGGGGATGGAGTTGCAAAGGGTTGAGGATCGGATAATGAAAGATCTGTCGAAAGCAGCGGTTCGGTAAGCCCTCAGAAGAAGCCCTTATGTATGTGAGCCCTGATACGTTTCAAATGGAAATAGGTGACGATAATAATTTAGACGTTTTAGAGTGGAAGTGGTACGGCGGGAAATATCGGATACATGATTTTTCCAGGATAGCGTTTGATCGAAGGTTATTTCAAGGTTTTTGACGGTGGGATAAAATTTGGTCGGATTATCGTGAAGGAACAGAGTTGGAATATTAATAACAGTTTTAAGGGGGTGATTGGAGCCTATTAAGATTGTCTTTTCCGCATTCAGCTTCAACTTGTTAGCTCTCGCCCAGTCACAAATTCCATCCAAGTCTTCTTGAAGTTTTTCTGTGGCAGATAATAGGTCGGAGGCGGGAAGGACAGGTATATTTGGTGATCATCTGCATAGATATGGCATTGGGAGTGATGGATCATGAGGGGAAGGTCATTAATATAAATAGCAAACAGAGTAGGAGAGAGGAGCCTTGAGGGACACCACAGGAGAAGGGAAGGGTCTTAGATGAAGGTTAACCTGGGACTACTACATACTGGGACCGATTTGGAAGGATTTGAACCAACACAGGGCACTGTTGGATAGAGGAATATTATGCAATTTAGTAAGGAGGATGTTATGGTCAACTATGTCATACGCTTTTAAAATATCTAAGAGGATGAGGATTCGTGTTCAATGGAGTTTTGGAGGTCATTGGTTATTTTAAGGAGAGCAGATTGCGTTGAGTATCCATGTCGAAAGCCAGATTGGAATGGGTTAATAAGGGAACGTTCCTCTAGGAAATTGGACAGTTGATTTTGTACAAGGCGATCTAAAGGCTTTGAGAGGTTGGATAGGAGAGAAATAGGACGGTAGTCATGCAGTGTGGTAGGGTTGGAAATTTTATTCAAAGGCCGGACTAGGGCAGTTCTCCAGGAGGATGGGAATATGGAAATTTGCAATGAAAAATTTTAGATGACAAAGGACAGGAAGGCTGGATTTTATTAGTTTTACTGAAATATTATCAGGACCACAATCATTCGTGTGGGATTTTAGGATAGTGGAAAGTAATGCGTCGTAGGATACATGGGAGAAAAAGAAGTATTCAGGATTGAAGTTGTAATGTTTAATATCGAAAGTAGGAGAAGAGTTGTAACTGAAGGATAAGAAATGGTTATTGAGATCATCTGGAGAAAGAGAGAAGGAACAAAGATTATTGAATTCTGGTAGGGATAGATTACGGAGTATTTCCACTTAGCATAGGACAGGACATTATGATAGTAGGTGGCTTTAGCGAGTTGGACTGGGTTCCATTGCGAAGATCCTTAAAATACGCATAATCCACAGGTA